TTTTTTTAATGGAAAAATGATTTGGAATGAAAGATGGCCTGATCACCACTTATTTCTGTGTGACCATTCTTGACTCGCACTAAAATAGGTTTTTTATGAAAATCGACGTTAGAATATTACTCTATATGCACATATGCTTTGGTCTAAGAAACATTGTGATATGACTTTTATCAATTTGACGTACAAATAACTATTAAAATTTATAATAAAACTTGAGAGAAGCGTTTTGAGAAAATGATTCTTAGAAGCTGGTAAAGCACTGATCGAGTATTTGAGTTAACTAAATAGTCTGAGTTTGGTACTTGACAATGTGAAACATAAAGATATCTCTGTGGTTGTATTTATTTGTATAAATATTTTAAATATAAAGACGAGATTTGAGAGAAACAGAACTACATCCCAACTCAGATATTTTAGTTAGTTCAAATGCTAAATACAAAATCAAGTTTATTCAAAAGCATCGATCCCAAAAGGTTTGAATTTGGTACATACTGGATTATGACTTACTTTGCAATTGATTGGTAGGACCAGTTGTGGTAACAGTTGTTGGTTTATGTGGCTCTGGTGTAGCTAAAAGAATATTTGATCAAATTAGTTCATATGATAATCGAATTGGATTCTTACCATCTTGTATTTGTGCTTTAGTTGCGAGCTCATATGGTTGTCCACAACCATGAATAGCTAATTGTATCGTTTTTGGAAAAATTATATTAGACGCTGTTGTTGTCAACGTGATTATCAGACCAGTATTAAATTCAATATTAGGGATAAAATTGACTTGTAATCCTTCTAGATTAGTACTTGTATAAGTATCATAATCAGTTTCAACAGTCATTTGTGTAATTTGAGATTCATTTGGATTGAGCACAGAAACTGATGTAATAGTAGCCTTCAAATAAATGAAAAACGAGTGTATAAAAACAAAAAAAAACAATAATTTATCTGTCCTACTGGTTGGCTGGTATCAAATTCAATGGTCATTGTAGATTCTGTCATATTGAATGAATTAGGAAAAGGAGGTGTATCGTACTGTACTCCATCAGATATTATTGATGAAAAATAGTAATCGTTCGAACTGATCATCTCGACTGGTGTTGTACAAACTAAACAAAGAAAAATAACGAAAATTAAATCAATTTGTTTTTGATGAAATTTACTTGATACGTCAGTGACACTTCTAGTTCTACTCGTCTTTTTAGTTCGGCCAGTGGCTAAAACAAATTAATATTGAAGAATTTTATATGAAACAAAATTCTTACTAATGACTGAACTAGTTGGCATTGTTGTAATGACGCCAGCTGGAGGCAGCATTGTATTAACTAAAAGTATTTAAAAACAAAAGTTTCAATAACATTCAAATAAAATAAGTTTACTTGGTCCATAACAACCAATTACCATCAATCGAACAGAAGATGGTTTATTTTGATCAGTTGTTTTTAATATTTTAACATCAATTCCTTGAATATTACATCGAAGTTGATTTTCTGTAACTGTTGGATTATCGTCAGGTGATTGTAAAACAATTGTATTTCCATCGGATGTTTTCAAATCAGTTTTATTACTTGTTTTATAACTAACCTCAATTTTTGCAACATTTGATGTTTTACGTCCAGGTGCTGTTCGTTGTATAAGTACATCTGATACACAAATGTGATTATTAAAAAATAAATTAATTATATACGGCCCTTCTGTTGTTAAATCTTCACCGCGCATATTTTCGTAAGCACGTGAAAAATCAGAAAACGGTGCTGAAGGTGATGCATATGTTTGCATATTAGAACGTGTTAAAATATTTGTCTTTGGACACCAAACTTTAAAAAATTAAGAAATTTAGAAAAAGAAAAGACGACAATTATTTTTTTATTACTTGATTCAGCGATTGTACTACCAACTATATTAGTACTTATTGTTGTTTCATCTAAAATATCAATCAAATATTAAAATAAATTGATGAAGAAGAACTCACCCGGTTCAACTTGTGCTTTGCTTGATAATTGATGTTGTGGTGAATAACAACCGAGAATTTCAAGTTTTAAATTGTTCGGTAATGAGTTATCTGTAGTGCTAATCAATTTAACAGTTAAGGTTGATACATATTCCAGTGTTGACGAGAATAATACTTCATTCAATGCGGGGCTTGTACTATAAACATAATCATCCATAACATCAGCAATTACTCCTATTTGGCTTAATTTCGATTGATCACCATTAACAAAACGAACTTGTTCAATATCAACCTATAGATAAGAAGAAAAAAAGAAGATTTTTGTTGTTGACTCAATTTAATTTAATTTAAAAACATACTTGACCGGCAAATTCAATATCGATTTGAAAAGGTAATTTGTTTACAATAAGAGGTGACGGTATATTCGATGGTGTTTGTATTTCATTTTGAATAATAACGTTTGAAAAAAGTATATTACTCAATTGAGTTAATTCAGTTGCATTTTCACATCCTAAAACAGGAAAAAACCAAAATAAATAGTAAAAAAAAAAGGAAAGAAATGTACTTGTTATTGCTGATGTTGTTTGAATTTTAGAAGCTGTTGTTGTCATTGGTATAAAATAAGTTACTCCTATTAATGAAAATTATTTAATTATAATGCAAATTTAAGTATGAAACGACTTATAATTCTATCAAATTTAATTACAAACTCGAACTTAAGCTTATCATTAAGATGGAAATGTTCATTCTTTTTTTGTGAATAACTTACTTGGCTTATAACAACCCAAAACTTTCAAACGAAACCAAGTTGGTCTTCCGCCATTTGTTTGAAGAATAGTTAAATTAAGCCCTTTTAAATTATTAATCAAGTCATGTTGAATTGTTAAACTTGAATCTCCATCGGATGTTGTTAATGTTAATACTTTTCCTGTTGTTGGATCAATATATGGTGTATTGTCCAATGTTATATAGTATACACTGTATTTTATTATATTTGTTGTACGAGTTTTAAATGTTGGTTGTAAAGCAACAGTTGAAATACTGACAGGTGCATTAAAATATGCACGAATGGTCGGTGTTTGAGATAATGGAAATGATACACCATTTCGATTTTCATATGCATTTGAAAGATCAGATAAAGCATCAGGCGAATAATATTCAGCCATATTTTCTGGTTGCATTATGTTTTTAATTGGACACCAAACAGCTAGAATAAAAATTGTCCATCTATGAAATGTGAATATTTTCAATAATAATTAAACCTGATTTTGTTGTTGAACTTTTTTCTTCAATTTGAGCTTTTGTTCTTACTAGACTAGAATCACATCCTTCAATATATATAAGAACATTTCTTGGCGGTTGTCCATCAGTTGTGGTTTTTATACGATATGTTAAACTAGCAGATCGATCGGTATCACTTGCATTGGCTACAATTAATGCTCCAACATGACCTGAATATTCCGGATAGTCTGGTGATTGATCTAATATGACATCAAATGCATCAACGTTTGTTCCACTTGTTCCTTGTAAAATTCCCATACGATCGACGGTCAACAGATGAAGAAACTCAATAGTAATTAAATACTCGTTTGCATTTGACGTAAATGTATAACCCGTTGTTGTATTATCTTGAAATCTGCTTTTATCAAGTAGTTCATTATTAGCTTTTATTGATTGAATATATGATTCAGGTACTGATAAAAGACTTAGACTATTCGGACAAGCACCTACAATTTTAATCAAAGAATTTATAATGAAACGGCTTTTTTGTTTTCTTCTTACGTGGAATATTGTAAAACGGATTTGGTGATGTTGTTGTTGTCGTTGCACCTATTTGAAAATATAGATCAAAGGCATTTTTCTTTTTAAGAAAGTGAAAATATCTACTCGATTTTTGACATCCATTAGCAATAACTACAACGTTTCTCGGTATCGAATTATCACTTGTAGATAAAATTTTTACTTTAAATCCATAGATTCCTTCACGTGATGGATCTATTATTACTGTTGGTTCATTCAATGGTGATCGATTGCTTATAACATTTCCTTTAGAATCTGTTAAAAGTGTTGAGCCATCTGGTAATGCGATATATGTTGTTTCGATTTGACGTACATTTGAATTTTCAGTTGGTACCCGTATATCATATAAGGTTTGAACATATTGTGTTCCATAAAGAAATGTTATTTCAGGTTGAGTACTTGTAAATGAACTAACACCAGTTGAACCTGATACTATCTTTGAAGCAAGATCACTCATAAAAGATTCTGATGATGTTACAGATGCTACTATTGATTGATCAACCAAGTTAACAGGAATACATGGTTCTATGTTAAAAAAGTATTTTTTTCAAACATAATGAGAATAAATTTCAAAATACCTCTAGTAGTGCTCTGTGTAATTAAAGGTTCATTTCCTACAACAAAATTATAAAATTTAATCTTCTACTATACAACCTATAGATGCGACAAATTTTCGAAGAAACAAGCATTAGTACAAATACTTAAAATGATATTAAAATTTTAATTATAGATGCAAGAGATCTTTAACATTAATTAATATGAATAACATGATTTCGTTTCTCATCTGTCCATGGTTAATAATAATATATAGTGCTTATGTTTTCGAGTGTAGTCAATTATTGATTAAACTATGCACACGTGTCAATGCGTATCATTGAGATATTCACATGCGCCTGAGGCTCTCGTTTTAACAGCAAACATGACTAAGTTTTTGGTGGCCACGACGCTCAAAGAAATCTTTGAAGCAGTCATGCTCTGTGCTCGTCTCTCTTGTTATGCAGCCGCGCCTTTATCACATCGGCTATTGAATTCTATTGCGAGAATGTTTTTAAAAACAAATGTACATCAAATGCTGAAAGTTACAATAAAAGGCTTACTCGTTGACTAACTCGTTCTTTATGAAATACCGTTCATTTTAGTAATTTACTTCGATATTCAGTTGATAAATTAATAAAGTAAATCATAAGCAAAGCTGATTAAAAATTAACCTGATAGAAGTTCGATCTAGCTCAAAGTTCAGTGAATTTCATTGTAATGAGTATAACATTTCAAACTTTTCTAAAACGAAGGGAAAAACAACGAACTTCAAGACGTCAAAAGATTTCAAGAGACATCAAGAAACGTCTAAAGACTTCATACGACTTCATGAGACTTCAAGAGGTTTCATGAGATTTCAAAAGACTTCATCAGATTTCAAAGCTGAAGTCTTAATTGTTTCCCCCTTTGTCTTAAACCAAAATTTGTGCTAAGTCAATTTCAAATTAGGTTACCATTGAAACAAAGAGTCTTTAAATGTATATTTATATCTAGCTATATCTTGCCTTATTATGTATCTTTTCATAGTATTTTCACTTTTATATTGTTGTTTATATGTAAGTGTCAAAAAAGGAAAGAATATTTCTTAATAAATACTAAAGCTTCACAAATAATTAGGAAAGAATTGGTGAAACACATGTCTTCGGTTACCCTTAGTATCAGCTAACGAGGGTCCCCGGGCGGTTGTTTCACTTGCCAAAAAGACATTCAGGCAATGACCACCTCGGTCATGATTCTGAGACTGTCGTCATTCTCCGCGCCCTTCTCGCTTCATTTTTAGACATGATACATGTCTCAGGTGACTGGACAGAAAAGATCAACTTGCACAAGAAATAAACAAAGCATTTATTTCATATATCATTTCATTGACGTATTAGAGAGGTCAATTAGAGTCCATTGTGTTCGAAATTTTTGCATCCGAATCTGAGCAGTTCCAGTTTTTTTGATACCCGAATACAAACCTGACTTCAAGCCGTCAACTAGAATTTTTCGCGCATACTAAGATTCGTACTTTCAAAAGAGTTTGTCAAATCCGAATTCAGAATGGATTTTATCAGATCCAGTATAAGATTTATAAGAATAATCTAATGCAGCCTATACAATACGAATAATGTTTTTTTTTGTCTATTGTTTTAAATATATGAAAAATCCCTTCTAAAAACAAACTCGATTAAATTTGTTAAGTTTGAAACAAACCTGATCCACAAGCATAAACAATAATTTCAACATTTTTTGCTGGTTGTCCATCTGTTGTACTCAAAATTTGCATCGTCACTTTTGTAACATCATAATTAAGATAAGGCGTTATGAGAAGATTATTCGGTGCATATAATGAATAAACTTGTTTTGTTCCTTCTTTCAATGTTAATATAATTTGTCCTGATTGAATATTAGTTACTTGTTTTGAATTATAATTAAAACCTAATGTAGCAAAAGAACCTCGTTGTCCACGTGGGACTAAATCAATTGTTGGTAAGGGAGAACGACTGTCAAATGTAACGCCACCTGAATTTGGTGTAAATTGAGATAATGATATAACATCAAATGCAGGTATTGATAAACCATTTATTGTTGCATTTTCAAACCATAGTGATGGGTTAAGCATAGCATCACGACGATCATTTAAACAAAATACTAAACATCAATAAAACAAAAAAGAAAGAAAATATTTAGTTTTCAATTGAATGAAATTTACATGGAGGTGTTGTTGTTAATTGTTTAGAAAACTCTGTTGATGGTGGTAAGATATATGTAACATGTGATACATAACAACCGATAACCGCAAATCGAAATCTTTTTGGTGGTAGGCCATCATTAGTATCACATAAATGTACACGAATACTGTTAACACCTTCAAACCATCCTTCAATAACTGGATTATTCATGGGTGATTTTAACAGAGGTACAAGTGTTCCATTTGGATAAGTTAATTGTGTTGAATTATTATTATATAGAGTAACACAAATTTGTCGAATATTACTTGTGTATGTTAAATAATCAACTTGTGCATACATTTTTGTAACAATAATATTGTTTGAAAGAAATTTTATTGTGATGTTTGGTTGAGAAACTGGAAATGTAACACCTTTCATATTCACATATGCATTTGATAAATCCGACATAACATCATTTGAAGAAAATTCTTTAAGATTTTCTCGTTTAAGAATATTTGTTTCCTCACATAAATCTGAATTTCAAGAAAAAACAATAAATTATCATATCAAGAGAAGAAATACATGAACTTACGTTGATGAGCGAATTTCGTTGTAGCTAAATATCAGAAAAATATTAAATAAAAATGAACAATTTTATTTATTATTTACCTTGAATAGTGGTAGTTTGATCATTTTCAATTTGAGCTTTTGTTCTTAACTGTTCTTCTTTAAAACAACCATTTAAAATAAGTTTTAAATTTTTAGGTGGTTGACCATCAATAGTTGGTAAACTTGTTGTGATAACAATTCGTTCAATATATTCGGCATTAATAGGAACAATTTGCCCAACATAATTTCCCTTAGCTTCAATTAAAGTATCAAAACTATCATATAATTGATATTGAATCGGTCCTATAACATTTGGAGAATTAATCAATCCAATACTTGTAATGCCATCAATTGGTTTTGTAAAAATTGTCCATGATTGAAGTGTATTTCCAGATTTTGCAGTTAATCCAGATGATAAAGATGAAACTGAACTAACATCTGATATAACTTCTCCATTTAGAGTCATAGAATTGATTTTATTTGTAGGATTAATCATTAAATCAATTGGATTTGGACATGAACTCGCTATAAATATAATTTAATGTTTTACTTTTATATAAAAATAAACTATTCTTACATGTAGTAAAATGTGCTCGAGTTGTTCGCTCCTGAATGATATAAGTTGCTAATTTAGCTAAATCACGGAAGAAAATGAAATATTTATTTTAAATTTATTCTTCATACCTGCTGAATAACATCCAGTGATTTTAACTCTGAGTCCTCGAACATTATCATTATTATCAGTTTTTAATACCTTTAATATCAAACCACGTACATCTGGAAAATAACCTGAAACAATTGGTTCATCTTCTGGCGATGCCCATCGTATTGGTTCACCAGTAATTTCATCCAATATAAGTGAATTACTAGCATCAAGAAATGTTGCTTCAATTTGTCGAACATTTCCAGGATTTTCAATATTTTCACGTTGAATTTCAATTTTTGAAATGTATGCTCGATTTGGTTGTTGAAACTTAATTAAAATTTCTGGATTCTTTGATTGACACTTTTCACCACGAAGATTTTCATAACCTTGCGCCATATCGGACAAACATTCAAGCGATAAAAATTTATATGTTTCTAAATTGTATGGGTGCATTATATTTGTTTCAGCACATAATGCTAAATTATGAGAAATAGATTTTCTTCTCTTCTAAATTTAATTATAAACTTACGTATTCGTCCACCTGTTCCATCACAAGTTCTTATATGAACTTTTAGTGTTGCATTATGAACTAATGAAGATGAGGAATCTGTTTGTAAAAGATCCACTCGAATACCATGAAATAAAAAGTTTGGACATAATTTATCCAATGAATTATTTTCTCGTCCAAACTGACTGACATGATTTACTTGCCATCCTTGTAATGCTGAATTTTTTATTGTTTGATTATAATGGTCGAAGTAAGATAAGCGTATTTGTTTAACATTGCTTCGAGGTGTTAAAACTTGAACAAGTGCAATAGGAATTGGTTTTTTAAAATAAATTCGAAAATAGCGTGATGTTGTTGATGGATTAAATTGAAAACCAGTTTTATTATTACGTACTATCATATCGTGTAATGTATTCAATTGTTCAGTTGCTTCACTTATTTCGACTCGTTCTAAATAACTTGGGTCTTGCATTATATCATATAATGGAGTGCAATTACAAGCTAAAAAAATTAGACGAGAAAACTTGTTGGGTTTCCTTTGGATTCAAAACGTAACTTACGTAATGTATGTTCACATGTTATTAAATCGATTGAAACATCTTGTTTTGAGGTTGAAATTGGTAAACCAAAGAATTCCAATTTAATAATATCTACCCTTAGGAAGCATTGGTTAATGACACCTTGGTTAGATTTAATAGGCCCAATAGTTTTGCTACCACCGGATGAATCAGCTAAGGTTATATAAGCATTGAATTCACCAGCTTGACTACCAACACCAATTGACGTAAGATCAACAGAACCTTTGACAAGTGATAGTGTCAATGTTGGTACTGTTAATTTACTTCTTATTAATGTCAAACTATGTGGTGGAGTGAATAGATTAGTAAGAATTAATTGATCATCATCGACATTGGTTTCTAGTCGAAAATATTCAGAACGTGCAAGAAGATTCAACGTTTGATTGCATTGACACACTGCAATAAAAACAAAATAGTGAACCTTATTCAAATGCATTATTTCCAATAGTTTCTTAACTGACAACTTTGTAGTTATATGCATTTATCTCTTTTACTTGTTATTTGTAAAAATATTACATGTTATCAGCCGATTCTATTCACCAATAACAAAATGCTTACGAACCGTGTCTTCGATAAAAAGCATAGAGTTTATGGTTGTAACAAAGGATTGACGAAGACACAGAGAGGAGTTCGCTAAACTATGAAATTGATACTGTCACGAAATTGAGTTTCTTATTTTCTCAATATTAAATTTAGGCTTCAAGAATCAATTGTCGTGAAAATAAAATAGTCAGACCTCATTCTGATTGCATCCGACGGTACATGTAAAACTTGATATTATCTGTCCATTATAGGTACATGTTATGCAATGTTTCTATGAAAGATTTTCCTCTTTATTTTCAATTCTCTTAATTTGAATCATACATTAAATGACAGCTTTTTCTTTCCTCTATTGAATGGCAATAGAATTATGACAAAATATTGTTATTTTCCTTTTTTCTTCAGATGATGCTGGTCATTTGTATTTATAGTCTGATCACAGCTATGACAAAGTTTCTCTCCGATTAAGCGTTGAAAACAGCAGTTTACTTTGAATAATTTACCATTTGATAGGCTTTTCAAAGCTCGACAAAATGATATTATTGTGGTGAGATTAGTTAGTGGGAAGGTACTTTTCTGACACATACAATGTGCGTAAGTGGTAAAAGTTGCCTTTTCTGACTAATAGTTAATTGGTTTTGGTTAGAATAACTAGGCCTTATATCGAAACAGATATTATATTGGTAATTAACATGAACAGCTGAGTCGATCAATAAAAGATGTCGCAAAAGCTTCCGACATCTTTTATATTTGTCACAGAATCCGGCTCTAACCAGGGTTAGATGAAAAAATACGGCGAGTCAAAAATAACAGTTTAATAGTAGACAACCCATTCTAAACGTTAAAAAAATCTGGGAAAATCGAAAATGACAGATAAATGAATAATATAGACAATGTTTGGACTAATTGTATTTGTGCACCTAACCCTAATAGAGATCAGAGCCGGATTCTGAAACTAAAATGAAAGATGTCGGAAGCTTTTTCGACACACATAGATCAACTTTCCTGTTCATGTTGATTAAAAAAATCCTATCTGTTCCGGTATAAAGCCTCAACTTTGCTTGCATCTATAATACATAATTTGACTCAGATCTTGCAGATTAATCTGATTAAGCCTTCAAGTCAAGTTGAGCGTATATTTCAGAGTATAGTTATAATGGCTTAGGCCTTAGATTACACATGTAGTGATATGACCTTGCACAAACAATGTTAAGCATATACGTTCAAGAGTATATGTAAAGGAGTATACATGTACGGATATATACATGAAGATATAGGTTAAAGGATATAGGCGTAAGAATATAGTCATCAGAATATAGTTATGAAAGTGTACGCCTAATGGAATGCTTATGAGGATCAGACTTAGGCGCAGGGCATGATGTTCCTGCTACTCGTCAGGACGGAATAAGCTAGCAGTATAGAACTGAACATGAGAGAAAAATTGTCCTGTGCTCAGCTTTAGTAAGGATATACTCAAAAAGGTGTACTTCTTACCAGATAGATATAAGATCAAAGAAAAACCAGCTAGAAACAGCGTACACTCGAAATTTCTAGCTCACTTTTCTTCGCTTCATATTTTACAGAGCAACTTCAATTCGTGTTTTATAGCATATAGCAAATACAAGATCGTCCATCAATTTTAGGCTTGCTCTGTGAACATTATAAACCTATACACTAGTTAATTTGTTAACACTCACCCTAATTGGTATCCATCTCAATCAGCGCTAATCTAATCAATAATCATTCTAAATATTACTCACTTGAATTTCTATTGCTCTCAATAGTACTGATCTAATTATTCACCACTGTAATAAATACTCACTCAAATAAATATTCATCCCATGAGTACTTCTCTACTTAGTACTCAATCTAATCTGTACGCACACTATTAAAGGGATCCCCTTGCTCTATCCAAAATTTTCAGTCTTTTCGTTTTCGTTTTCATTTTCATTTTTAATATTTAGTATATAGATCTAAATACTCTGTATCAAATGAGCACATTTTAAGAAATTAAAACCATATTTTTGCCTATAGAAAACTCGAAAAAAATCTCCATTTCAGGCTCAAAAAAGTCCAGAAGTGCAACTTCTTTGTGGTTTTCTCAAAATCAGACTTCTCAACGAAAAATTGAAGTTTTCCCCTCTGTTTCTCCCAGGCGGTTCGACTGATTGGGCTTAAACTTTTTTAATAAGCACTTCAATCTAATTGAGTGCGTGCTTTTGACTCGAAAATGTTGTACTTATCAAGTTTGAAAAATTTTACAACATTAGCACCCTTCGAAAAAATACTTTTTTTTCATGGCCTTTTGATAGTAGCTCCGTTGTGTCACTTCTACTGAGTCTTAGAAACAATATTTTTCATCGAAAAAAGACACGCACACAGGTTTGTTCCTAGTGGACACAGAAAAAACTTCAGTCCTAGATAAAGTAGTACGGATGTTTTCGGAGGGATAACTTCAGTTCATTTTAGCTCTTGACCTCGTCCAATGTCTCGGAAGGAAGCATTTGAGAATTTGAAGTCTATAAAAATTTTTATTCTACACATCAAGATCTATCTACCCTGAGATTTTCGCAAGTTTTCATCCAGCCGTTTTGGATAAACCTCGGAGAGGAGAGTTCCCTTAAGTAATCATCTTAATTTGGGCTCATTCAACACTCACTGCGCTACTTAGTTGAGCAAATAACGATTATTTAACTAATTTCTACATACCCAAATACTATTCAACTTTATTTATGCTGAGCTAACCATATGAGTACTAGTTAGAGGACAATGATTAGTTGGTTATTAACCCTTTGACTGCTGACATAAGAGAAGAAAGAAACGCTTTTGTAGAGAACTTATTTGTCTTTTATGGAATGATTCTATAGTTTGTCTTAGTAAAATGATGAGTTGAGGGGCGCATAATGCTTAGCACTTGTTCTTACGTAAATGCATCTAAAAAATACTCATTATGCATGACTTTTTAAGTTTACGCAAAAATAAGGCTTCTGACGTATATATGGATCGGCGGCGGCCAAAGAGTTAACTATTTACTAGTTACATATTGCTCTCTACTCAGTCTTCTGGTTGACAATAATCTTTCTGTTGTGAGTCATCAAACATGAACTTATTTTTACTGGTAAGATGCGAATGCGCAGGTGAGCCTTGAATTTCGATAATTACACTCACACGGCAACGCACACGAAAGACTTCCAATTCGTACGTATCTCGTCAAAATCTGGGATATTCCCTGGCTACACGTTTCTTGAAGGAATTACGGTTTCTTGAACGATTCCTGATTCAAAATTAGTAATAATATGCTCAGGATCCTGATTGAATCCTGTTTCAAATTCTATCAGGATCTTGAAATTTCTTGGCTACATACTTTCTTGAAGATCTGAGGGTTCTCCCTCCTTTTTCGATCCCAAGTATTCATTTTTTTTGTTGCTTTCAACTTTTTTGTAACTGAAAGACATTCAAGACTTCTCTATCGAAAGACATATGAACAAAAGTTTTAATGTTTGTTTAGATCCTTAAAAAACCCGACTTTCGATATCTCCTATACAAAAAAATCACTTTTTATAGCTCTGTTGTGTTATAAATGATCTATAACAATACAATTATTTCATCATTGAAATATATGATGTGAGTCAGCCATGCATTCTCCTAGCCGCTTTGCAACTGTCTTAATCGATAGATATACATAAGAAATGAGACACATGAAATATCGAAAAAATAGTGTTTTATCTTGTTTCGTGTGTTTCTCAAAAGCAACTTTTTCAGAGAAAAATTGAAGTTTTCCCTCTTTCGCCATCTAGACGCTTCAACCGATTGAGCGAAAATTTTTCGTGTTGCAACTAGAACGCAATCGGGGTGTATATGTTTTTTTCTATTTTTGCAATTACGCTCTGGTGATTTCCGGTAGATCTTACAAAATTTATCCTAGGGAAAAAAACACGTTTTTTGATAGGGCTTCCAATTTTTCGGTTCTCCTAAACGAAGCAAACAATATTTTTCAAAGAAATAAAAATTTACACCCCGAGTCGGTCCTAGCGGCTATGAAAAAATTCGGCATGTTGACATTTCGTCGCTACTTTTCATTCTGGACATCAAATATCGTAGTCCATTCCGAACATGTGTTTTGTTCAAAAAATCATCACTTGAATGATAAAGAATATCCAGTGTTCGTAATTAGAAAAATACGGATGTTCGGAACGATCATCAAAAAAAAACGGATGTTTATTAACATTTTTAACGGATGTTCGGAAAGGCAACGACACGCACATTTCTATGCGCGGAACTGGATAATTTTAACAGACGTTCGTAAAAGAAACTATCAAGTGTTTATAATGAAAACCCTAGTCGAGAATCCCTAAAAGAATCCCTAAGGAGTCTCTGTCAAAATTCCCTGGAAAATCCCGACAGAGGTTTCCAATGGATTTACGAAAAAGTCAAGAAGTCCCCAGGGATTGATGTGGGAGTTCCTGGGGATTTACTAGGGAATTCCGGAGGATTTGCCAGGAACTCCCCAGGAATATACCATGAGACTTACGACGACTGCAAACGATCGTACACAGCGTTCTTATCATAATATCCAGCCCTACTAAAATCTCATTATAAAATTCCCTCGAAGTCCATGGGGAATTATGACAGAGATTCCACCAGTGACCGAGAGTGAGTGTGGGCCTCCCCAGGGATTCATTTAGGGATTCTCGACTACGGACTATAGGAAGCTTCGAAACAGCAATAGGCAGATGTTCGTAAAACTTTACACAGGATTTCGGAATAGAGAAAGATGGATGTTCAGAAGTGAGATTTGCTTCTTGTATTAGTGCAGCACTTTATTAATCAATTATCAACAGACGGAAGGCAAACTCGCATTTTGTGCTTGCTGTCCATCAAAGTGACTGATATTTT